TCTTATAACCTATATGAATATTTTAAAAAAATTATGATGACAAATTTGGTAAATATAAAGCTAGAACTTTTATTTGAGGCAAATAAATATGTCTAATGGTACAATTATTTTTTGTAGAAAGGATAAAAAAAATCAAAAGAAAAATATTCATCTGCAGATAATAGCTAATTTGATAGCTTAGGGATCTTAACTAAAAAAATTTTAAGCTAAGAATGATTTTATTATATTTCATAAACGATTTTGTGTTCTTGAAAATCATTCAATAAAGATATTTTCATTCAATAAAGATGCAACTATTGGAGGAGGCTCACATATCAAGATTTCATAATCGACTTTTTGATGCAGGAAAAGCTTTAGCAATTCCAAATGAGGCTGAAGAAATTTTAGGATAGCATACTCAAAGTCTTGATGCTCTGAGAAAAGTCCATACAACCCAGAAGCAAAGTTAGTACTAAAGCTGGTGACTCCTGATCAGCCCAATGCAACTGCTCTTTCAAACTCCATTGAAGCAACTGCACACTAATACTACAATGCATAAATTAAACTTAAATATCCAATTAGCACACAAATAAATAAGTATGCAAAGAAGCCTTCTTAGACATATCCAAATCCATAAATCGGGTGACGACTCATTTCAAAACAAATTACAGAAACAACTCTTTACTGTTCTATGATTTTTTCAGCCACTTAAATCGTTAGAGCAACTACTACTCAGCAACTTCCTGTGATCTTTGGTGATATTTTGTATATACTTACTGCATAAGTTGATCTAAAATAGGACTCTTTGAGACTTACCCAACAACCAAAATCCCATCCGGAATTGGAATTAATTTGGACAAAAGCCAAATGTCCCTACGATAGATCCGAAGGTCATCTCAGTTGGACTGTTAGGTAGAAATTTTAAAACTTGCAGCTAACGTACAAAGCAACAATACTATGCCAAAGACAATCAGAAAATAATTTAAGCTAGCAATCAGTAAGACAGAACAAATTTGATTTATAATCAATGTTAACCTAGCTAGCTTGTCATAAAAGAAAAATCCCACACCTAAATGGACCTTTAGATAAGCCCTTTGCAGAAAATTCCCAAATCTCAAATTAGGGGAATAATCTACCTTTTGTCGTGGACAAATTAGACCATCAGCTAAGCCCTTTCTCAGCCTCCGATACCAAATGAAAGGTATCATTTTCCTTTACACACGCCCACAACTCCCAAAATATCAAGCTTTCTTTGTGAGGGAGAACAAACTTCTCAATGAACTTGGTGTCTGATAATGTGAGAATGCATGTAAACTAGCCTTGTCCAGTCCACAATCCTTTCGATTTCAACATCTCTGTGACACGAAACCGAGGAATTACCCTCTTCTGCAGACTAAATAGCAAGAGATTTGATTTGTCGGCGATGAAGGAAGGGGTGCAACCGACCACATTGATAAAAAAAATCCACTTTTCTCCACATCATATCGAGGGAAATGCCTAAGAAAGTGGGATTTTTCCTGACTGCAGAAGAAAACTCCGACACCGACCACCCGAAAAACCTCATGAGCTCGACCTTGGCCTCGAACCTTTCTCTGCTTACCCTCTGGAGAATATTAAGTGTCCACATGAACATCCGAGATTGCCGTGGCATCCCCAGCTCATCGGCTCTCGCCACCAAAGCTCGGAGAGAGTCTGGTTTCTGTGAGATTAATTGTGGGTGACTTCTCAAGACGAGAGAGAGCCTTTCTTCAGGAATGCCGCACTCATCCCTCAAGAATTTTAGGTTAGGATGCAATGTCTTCTCAACGCTGGGAAAGAAAAACCATCCTGTCTTCTTGAGATGCTTGAGAACAAGCTCTCTCGATCCCAAGATACTTTCCCACAACTCCAATCTGGGGACGAAGGAACGGTGAACGTTGCGGCAGAGGATCTCATTGTTATTCCGGATGACATCGACGATGTCAGACTCCGATAGGCCCAAATCGCGTAAGAACTGAAACTTCGGGGTGAGGTTCTTCTCCACGTTGCAGCATAAGTATCTGGGATCCCCAGATATCACCTTCCTGATACCGGCGCCGTCGAAGCCCTGAGATCTCATGAAGTTAAGGACGGCGTCTGGTTTCTCGGTGGATCGGAGGTGCGCAAGGGGTTTAGAGAACTTGGCTGCCTCGGAGGGGGGAGAACCCACAGGAGTTCACGAGGTATTCCACCATGAAGTTGGGATCTGGAGATATGGTGACGCCTACAGCGGCGGCAGGGTCGACAGAGGAGGAGAAGAAGAAGAGATCTCGAAGGCGGCACGTTTCGAACAGGGGCAGAAGGCTATTGCGGCGGAGTACGGAGCGGATCGTAACAGCCGCCATTGTGGGACAAAAGATAGCACCTGTAGCGAAACCCTAATTCCTATATGTAGCTTGTGTAACCAAAATTACAGGAATAAATTATTTATATATAAAAATATGGATAAAATTATCTATATAATATTTATATAATTTTATCTGTTTTTAGAAAATCACACATGTTTGTCTCCTACAACGCTCTAAGTTTTAAAATTTTATATAAATATTATTTTAAGAATGATTATCTTACCACTGTTAGGATCGAAGCGGCACTAAGAGGGGTGGGGGGTGAATTAGTGCAGTAGATTAAAACGTCGGTTTTGAAAAATATTTCGTACGATAAAAATCGAACTCGAAAGTGCTTAACTTAAGCGTATTCGTAAAGGTGTGCAGCAAAAGTAACGAGAAAGTAAAGTACGTACGAAGGTTTGCAGTAAGGTAAATAGCAATAAGTAAATGCAAACCAGAGAACACGTCAATTTAAAGTGGTTCGGTCAAATGACCTACATTGACTTGCGAAACCTTCTTCAATGAGGCTCCCAACTTCCACTAACAAATCTTTTTGAAGGGGAAGGACAAATACCCCTCTTACAACCTTTTGCAAATGGTTCACACTCTTACAAATTTTTTAAGAGAAAGAAGGAGGTGAACACTCAAAAATTGAGAACAAGACTTGCTAAAGACTTCTCTAAGACTTTTATCTCAATATATTTGCTTTCTCAAATGTTGTCTTCTCAGTTGAGAATTGAGGGGTATTTATAGGCCCCAAGAGGATTCAAATTTAGGCTCCAAATTTTGAATTCTCTTGGGTTCCCGAGGCTAGCGGTGCCATCGCTCAGTTCTCGGGTTCTGGGCGGTGCCACCGCCTACACTATTTCAGCTCACTGGTTGGGCTCCAAACTTGGCTCAAACCAGTCCGAACTCAAGCTCAATTGGCCCCTACTTGGATTATAGGATTAACACCTAATCCTAACCCTAATTAACGTGCTAACTACGAATTTAAAGACATTTCCTAAGCTATTACAAAGTCTGCAATTCAAGACTTTTTCCGGTGAGCTTCCGGCAAACTTCCGGCGGTCTTCCGACGAACTCTCGAAAACCATTCTGCGGACTCCCGGCAAGCTCCTAGACTTCACAATTTGATCTTGGCGAGTTCCAACTAGCTTCTTCGGCAAGCTCCGATCTTTCTCGGTGAGCTCCGCGAACTTCCAACGAACCTTCCGGCGAGCTTCCGAAAAACCTTTCGGCAAGCTCCCTACTCATTCTCGGCTAGTTCCGGCAACATTCCCGACGAACCTTCGGACTTCCGTCGAACTCTCAAACTCGCAACAAATCCTTCGCGCTTGACTCCGACACTTTGTTTCGCTTTATATCTTCGTCGTTATCGTAGTTAATCCTGCACACACAAGCCAAAACTCTACTTTGATCTAGACAATTATTTCAACGCGAATTGACATTCTGTTGCCCGACACATCATTGGTTAGCGCTTCGTCCGATTCTTCAGCTCATTGTCCTCTCTTGCGGCTTGTTGCCCAATCGGCGGTTGACCTCTGCAACCCCGATATCCTTGGCGCAATTCCGCTCTTGGCCCGATGCCCGACGTCCGAAGCCTTCTGCCATCCAATATCCTAACGTGATCTCCTCCGGCGCAACGTCAATTCCTCCCGTGTTAACTGTCTAATCCTGATCGAGTAGACCTGCATCACTCAAAATACAATTAAACATCTAAATACAATCAATTAGTTTCATCATCAAAATCCGAGATTCAACAATCACAACTTATTATCACTTTTTATATGCTTATATGCTTCTTGGTATCTTCATCTCATCAATTGCCCTACTCTATCTTATGTCTAGTAATATTGGTTCTTGACTCTCGCATAAAATAAAATAAAATAAAAGGATCATTACATATTATGATCATTGATAAGAAAAAAAAGCCAGGACTAACATATAATAGTTTGAAATAAGTGGAGATACATTGTTACTCCATTAATATAATATTAATTATCATTATATAATGAAATGATAATTATATCGAAATACTTAGAAAATAAAAAGAGTTAAGCCGATCCAAAATTCAAAGGAGGTTCATGGCCAAGGGTAAAGATGTCAGAGTCATAGTTATTTTGGAATGTACCAGTTATGCCTGAAAATTGAGCCAAGCCTATATATAAAAATTTTCTATGTTATAAGGTAAAAATGAAGTGCTATTAAAAAAATCTTAAAATTATAGGTTTTTTTTATAAATCATCCTAATCACTCACACTTTAAAATATAAAATTATTAATTGCCAAAGCGAAAAAAAAAATTTTGTGTTGATTTTTTTGTCTGAATTAATATACCTTAATTAATATTTATGACATGTAGAAATGTAGTAAAAATTCTTGATTAAAGTTGATAATGCTTAACATATGTTATAGTTAAATTTGACTGTGCATTAATATATTGTTAATTGAAGCACAACACATTTCAGGACACAAATTGGAGGCATCAATCTATACCGTGCACGCGTCTCAAAGCGCCACGGAAGTGGATCATACATGCACAGTAAACACCACGCGGGACCGAGTTGAGGATGAGCATCCGACCGTTATTCTAGAAATGAACGGTCTTGATCAAAAGTGTATCCCCGTGCATATGATCTCTTCCACTTGATCACATTGTTCGTGGAATCGCTGGTATCGCCGCGCCAACCCCCGCACTTACGCCGCTACGTCGCCCGCGTCCGCCACCACCTCCTCTCTCCTCATCGCAGCTCCACCCGAAGGGATGCCACTGACTACTCGAACGCTCCCTAGTCTCCGGTCGTCTCCTTCGACCCCGATCCCTCTTCGCAACCCGTTGTCTTCTTCCCACCCCGCGAGCCATTGGAGGATGGGGAGGAAGCACAGCAAGCCTCGCTCGATCAGCTGTACCGTCCGGTTCCGCCCCTGCATCGACATCCACAAGGTACTGCGCATTCTTCTCTTGCTTTCTCCTCGGGTTCTCTTGGCACCGCTGAGTAGAACGAGATCCAAAGTGGTAGGATAAAGTGAAACAAATCGTGGGATCCACGCTTCGTGATTCGACAGACGGCGGCGCGTCGGACATGGTGACCAACTTCGAGTCGGAGAAGTTGCCGGCAGAGTTTGCGAATCTGTACAAGAAGGACGGGCTCAAGGGTGGCCATGTCATAATGCTTGGCGCCGACGCCGCAAGCCAATCTGCGGCCTTCGAGGCCCTTCGTGCTTACCCTGGTAACTTCGTGATCATCCATAGGTATCTTATCCTTCGTGTGTAAATGTGCATTTTGTTGTATGTTCACATTGTCACGGTTCATTAACATGGTATAAGTGCATAATTTTACTTTAATAACTTGTCTTCTTCAAATTTATGAATTTTGCTTTTCTCAGTTCCTTCTACGTTCATTTCATCAATGTCCATCTTACCAAATTGGAGACTTATGTAGGTCGACATAAAGATTTGACGCATTATCATTCAAGTCATGTCTTTTCCTTTCTCTTTGTAGTTCTTCTTTTTTTCGAATTCAAGTTTCTACTTTAATGTTTTCTTGCTTTGTTGAATTGTAACTGTAGGTGGTATGCAAGTTGGAGGTGGGATCTAATGCCATGAATTATCTTGAAGAAGGGGCAAGTCATGTGATTGTTACGTCGGTATGTATTTATTTACTTGCATGTAGAATGTTCGCAATCCAATCACATTCATAAGCCTAAACCAACTCCCAGATCAAAAGATGATTATCGAGGAAAAAAGAAAGAATGTTAAGAGAACTCTATTGATTCATCCTTTTTTATGTAACACATTGATAGTTTAATGACTTATTTATAGCTATCAATTCAACATACCAGAAGGGATACGGCTCTTGTCAAGAATCCCCTTGTGCATTTGGACATGAACATACCTCCTTAGTGTAGAATGTCTTTTATTCTTTCGCTTGGCATATATACACAGTATAAATAGTAAAAAGAACTGAAAAGTTTATTTTTAGATAATGCTTTATTTATATACAAAATATACAATAGAAATTTCTTATTGATTTTATGTCTTTTGTTGATTACATCATATTTTGATTACTAGTTCTATTAAATGCTTATATATGTTGAATTCCGATACCAAGAGCTACTTTCTCACTTTTATAAATATATAAAAATAATTAGGAGCCGAAAATATAGGTGGCAAAGTTGGGGGACAACCTCAATTTCCTGATCGTCCAAAATCTTCAGAATTCAGCTGTAGTTATGCAGGCACTTTGTCTGTTGAAAATTGTGTACTGATTTATTCCCATTTGTTGGGCCTAAACCACCAATACTTGTTACTCTCTTGCAGTATATTTTCAGCGATGGGAAAATGAATCCTGAGCGACTTAAACATCTTGTCAATATGATTGACAAGAATAGACTTGTGTTGGATCTTAGCTGCACATAGAAAGTATACTATTTCTTTGCTAGTAATTGTAGCATGGACTTGTATGCAATTGATGATGTCTACAGTAAAGTTCTGATTTTGGAAACCTATTTGAGGAAAAGAGGGAATTTAAGGAGAAAGTTGACATTAGATTCTCCAATATCCTGATGGTTTCTCAATTTGAGAGCAACCTAGTAATACTGAGTCTGCATGGAAGACATGGTTGTTTTTCTCTTTCTTCCACATTTCTAATTGCTCCATGTCATTAAAGGCATCCAGGTTTAGAGCTTTTGGCGGATAGCTGCAAAGGTCATGGTGAGGGGAAGGTAGTGGCAGGGAAAGACAAAAGAGAAAGAGAAGGGAATGTAATGTTGCCAGAACTTACATTTGCTTTATTCACTAGCATGATTTTTAGAATTTGTGGCTGGAGATGAGCACTACATTGGCATATGACTGAATACAAGAGTTGATTGAGATGGGGATTCTCTCTAATGAGATATGCAGTACTAGATATAGCGATGGTATGTTGCACTGCCATTATTTGTATTTTTTGTTGATTGACATGACAGTTAAAATCCTCAATACATTGCAACGATCATGGTGGAAGTAAGAGTAGTAGTTATTGTCAATTTATTCAGCACATTAACTTATTGTTGTTATGATGGAGAAATCACTGTAGACTGTAGCTACGGATAATGCTGTAAGCATAAGCATTGTGATTATGTATCTTCTCTTGATGGAACGTTTTAGGACAACACCATTGATCGCAAATGTTGTGGGATGGTGAGTGTTCGTTGCATTACTGTGAGACCCAAATGGGGTAGAACAACTATCCAAATTGGTAAAGTGATCACTGAAGTCTTGTGGCATGGCAGCAGTTTTATATCTGATTGTGAACAATCTGTAGATGACTTCCAAAGTATATATTCCTAAAATTTCACGTAGGATAATTGTGATGCAGCATATATGTGAAGATTGACATTCCATGGAAATAATTTTGTTGATTATGATGAACCCTTGATCTAATGAGGTAACAACAATGTACAAAGGGGGTTCTCATTGTGAAAAGTCAATCTACAATAAAAATGGTCTGATGAGAAAAATGTTTGATGCACATGGTCAAATATTTTTTTGACCCAGTTAGACAACTAGTTACAATGTCGGAAAGAACCAAGTAACTGAGCAATGACTCCAAGGTGAGATAAGTGAATACCAATCCAAAATTGATTGAATGTGACTCTGATATAACTCTAGTCTCTGTTGGGAATTCTCTTATGGGTGGTTTGTCAAGTGAAGATTTATATGCAAGGAAGTTGTGAGATTGTAAGAGTATGTATCTGGAGGATGCTCCTTGTAGTTACTCTCCACACCACAGACTCCAAGAATGAAGAGATCAGCTAACCAAATCACAAAGGGTGGATGAGCTGAAGCCCCCGGAGGCAAGTCAGAATTTGTTGATGCAGGAAAAGCTTTAGCAATTCCAAATGAGGCAGAAGACATTTCAGAATAGCATACTCAAGTTTTGATGCTCAGAGAAAAGTCTATACAACCTTGAAACAAAATTAGTGCTAAAGCTGGTGACTCCTGATCAACCCAATGCAACTGCTCTTTCAAACTCCATTGAAGCCACTGCATACTAATATTACAATGCATAAATCAAATTTCAATATCCAATTAGCACACAAATAAATAAGTATGCAAAGAAGCCTTCTTAGACATATCCAAATCCATAAATCGGGTGACTGACTCATTTCAAAACAAATTACAGAAACAACTCTTTACTGTTCTATGATTTTTTCAGTCACTTAAATAGTTAGACCAACTACCACTCAGCAACTTCCTGTGATCTTTGGTGATATTTTGTATATAATTACTGCATAACTTGATCTAAACTATGATTCTTTGAGACTTACCCAACAACCAAAATCCCATCCGGAATTTGAATTAATTTGGACAAAAGCCAAAAGCCCCTCCGATAGATCCGAAGGTCATCTCAGTTGGACTGTTAAGTAGAATTTTTAAAACATGCAGTTTACAGACAAAGCAACAATACTATGCCAAAGACAATCAGAAAATAATTTAAGCTAACAATCAGTAAGACAGAACAAATTTGGTTTCTAATCAATGCTAATCTAGCTTGCCATTAAAGAAAAATCCCACACCTCAATACACCTTTTGATAAGCCCTTTGCATTCTATTTCCAAAATCTCAAATTAGGGGAATAATCTACCTTCGTTGTTGGCAAATCAGACCATCGGCTAAGCCCTTTCTCATCCTCCGATACCAAATGAAAGGTATCATTTTCCTTTACACACGCCCGCAACTCTCAAAATATCAAGCAGCTCAGGAACATTTTCTTTGTGAGGGAGAACAAACTTCTCAGTGAATTTGGTATCTGATAATGTGAGAATGCATGTAAACTTGCCTTGTCCAGTCCACAATCCCTTCGATTTCAACATCTCTGTGACACGAAACCGAGGAATTACCCTCTTCTGCAGACTATATAGCAAGAGATTTGGTTTGTCGGCGATGAAGGAAGGGGTGAAACCGACTACATTGATAAAAAATTCCACTTTTCTGCGCAACATATCGAGGGAGATGCATAAGAAGGTGGGTGCTTTCATGACTGCAGAAGAAAACTCCGACTCGGACCACCCGAAGCTCCTCATGAGCTCGACCTTGGCCTCGAACCTTTCTTTGCTTACGTTGTGGAAAACATCAAGTGTCCACATGAACATCCGAGATTGCCGTGGCATCCCCAGCTCATCGGCTCTCGCCACCAAAGCTCGGAGAGACTCTGGTTTCTGTGAGATTAATTTTGGGTGACTTCTCAAGACGACAGAGACCCTTTCTTCAGGAATGCCGCACTCATCCCTCAAGAACTTTAGGTTAGGATGCAATGTCTTCTCAACGCTGGGGAAGAAAAACCATCCTGTCTTCTTGAGACGCTTGAGAACAAGCTCTCTCGATCCCAAGAGACTTTCCCACATCTCCAATTTGGGGACAAGGGAACGGTGAACGTTGCGGCAGAGGATCTCATGGTTATTCCAGATGACATCGACGATGTCCGACTCCGATAGGCCCAAATCGCGTAAGAACTGAAACTTCGAGGCGAGGTTCTTCTCCACGTTGTAGCATAAGTATCTGGGATCCGCAGATATCACCTTCCTGATACCGGCGCCGTCGAAGCCCTGAGATCTCAAGAAGTTAAGGACGGCGTCGGGTTTCTCAGTGGCTCGGAGGTGCGCAAGGGGTTTAGAGACCTTGGCTGCCTCGGTGGGGGAGAACCCGCAGGAGCTCACGAGGTATTTCACCATGAAGTGGGGATCTGGAGATATGGTGCCGCCTACGGCGGCCGCAGGGTCGACAGAGGAGGAGAAGAAGAGGAGATCTCGAAGGCGGTGGGTTTCGAACAAGGGAAGGAGGCCATTGCGGCGGAGCACGGAGCGGAGCGTCGCAGTCGCCATTGTGGGACGAAAGAGAGCAGCCGCAGCGGGACCCTAATACAAACAACCCGCTTTTATCTGTAGTCTGTATAACCCGTCGCTAAGCACAAGAAATACAAAATTATAGGAATAAATTATTTATATAAAAAATATGGATAAATTTTTCTTATGAATAAAATTTATAAAATAGATATTCAACATTTTAAGTTAATATTATGTTTTAATAACACAATGGTAATTGTTAGATATTTTTATTATAATTTCATGAAAGTATAATTTAAAATTTAAAAAGTAATTATAATTTAAATTGTAATCAATTAGTTTGTCCGACTCAACCCACAAGCTATACCATATCCCGCAGATCCAACAATGATACTACGTTTGATAATTTTATTGGTTGACAACTTGATATGAACTTATGAAATTAATTTTTTTAAGAAAGAATTATTTGGTTTCTCAGGTTTTTGTTCTTGGCCTTTGCTCTACTGCAGATGGGAATTATGTCATTATTACCGATCGATGTTATTCTTAGTCAAGGAAAGATATAGTAGAAATAAATTTTTGGTTTATGGGGAAATTGTTACTATAGTTACTCCCAGTTTTTAAGTAACACATTCCAATAACTGTGAGTTTTTTATTACTATGTAGTGATTCGGCTTCGTATCGTGGGTTAAAAGTTAAATTACTCTTATTAAGATATGTCTTACTTGAACCATTAATTTTTCTTTTTGCATGAAAATTATGTTTTTAAGATCATAATTGGACCTTTTTGTTTGCCATGCATGCATGTGAAAGCCGTAAATTTGTCTTGATGGATTATGTTTTCTTTTTCCTTGGTGCATTTTCATATTATATTTTTCCATCGTTTTCACAATGCTTCAGCTGAACTCTTCCCTTTTATGGATGTTAGGTGTTCTGAGACTTCAGGAACTTGTAGCTTATTCTGGATTTCGTCTTCTCTGTTTGATTACATAGTTAACAAATTGCAAGAATCAACATTCAAAAGATCTTGTAATTGTTAGGTGAGCTTGATTGACTACAGATAATTTATTAGTTTAATAATCATGCAGATCATCCAATAAAGTCGTGACTTTTGTAATCATCCATAATTTTCTAACATCAATTAATTACTTTAAATCATGTATTACTTTATTTAAATTAGTATTTTATTTATATAATATGATTAAAAAATATTAAAATTATTATTTATCGTTTATGGAGAGCTCAAGCTCATCTTTCCTCGTTGTTCCTAGCTCCGAGGGGGAAAGGTTCTCAGAGGAAATGATCATGAGGAGAGTAGATTTTTTTCATTTATATTTTTAAAATATTTAATATTAGAATTATTTTTAATTTATATGTTATAAAAATAATAATTTTATTTTAAAATTTTATGATTAATAAATAATGATTATTGAAAGTATATTTATGTTTTAATTAATTAAGTATGAATTTTTATGATTTAATTACTTTTAAATTTGGAACATAAATCTAAATTAGTTAATTTATGAAAATTAATAGATTTATGATTAATTATTATTTTATAATATTTTAAAATATTTTTAAAAATATTAAAATCTAATTTAACAAGTATGAGTCGAGATTTAACCTTAGTTAAGTTGATTGATCAAACCAGTCTATGTGGTTAAGTATAATCTAATTGACGTGATTAAGTATTACTCAATCTATGTAGGCAAGTACGTTTTGTGTGGTTCAAAATAACACAATCCATGTAATCAAATATAATATAATTTATGTAGTTAGACATAACTCAATCTATGTGATCAAGTATGATCTAACTTATTTGGTTAAACATAACTCATCCTATGTGATCAAGGATTGTCTAACTTATTTGGCAGTTATGGCTTAGCACATATGATTAAGTATAACTCAGTTAGTATGACCAAGCATAATCAATTATATGTGATCAAACATAATTTAGCCCATAATTAGACATCATCTAATTCAATTAATGTGATTAAGTATGACTTAACAAATGTAACTATATATAGTTAGATATGATTTAACTCATATAATCAAATATAATTTAATTTCTAAATCAAGTATAATTCAATCTATTTGATTGATTATATATGACTCGATTTATATGACCTATTTTATGTGGTTATGATTTAACTCTAAGTTAAGATCATAAAACTATATATGCAGATGTTCGTTATTGTGACTCTCCATACGTTAAAGTTGTATGGTAGCAGAGTATGAAGAACAGATACATAGTAGTCGTATAAATTAATCTTTCTAGTGATTTAATTTATGAGATTGTTGTTTCATGAAATTCTTTGAGTTTCAAGTACTCAAATCAAAACATTTTATGATTAAAGGTTTTAGATATTAATGTATGTACCAATGCATGTTCACGGATATCAAAATGCCGATATCAAAATGTACCTATGAAAACTCACTTTGTTGGTTTGTCATTGCATAATGCATTGAGCCAAAGCAGGGCTAAATTATACGTGGGGGAAGAGAGGATGATAGAGACAATGATAGTGCCATGTCCTTGACTACTAAGGCCTCCAGAATCATTTTTCCTCTATCTCCTTACCTGCTCTTCTTTATGTGGCCTCCTGCATCCCCCATTAGCTCACTCGACATCCCCCGTTAGTTCTCAAAGGAGGAAGAAGAAGAGTTGAAAGCTAACTAAGTGCTTCCCTTTTCATGTTGTATACTCGTACATAGGTCAACATATGTACTATTGTCTGATGATGATGGGGATGCTCCCAGGCGTGGAATGTGCTCGGCAGAGGTGCTTCCATCTCGATCGTTTGTTGGATTCACCCATCAGTTTGTGGAGGTCATCCTTTTGCTTGTACACAACAGGACATGAGACGCATTTGAGTCGTAGTTCCATAATGCAGTTCACTTCTTCTTATTAAACGTTGAGTTCATCCTCAATCGTCCTTATCTTTTCAGCTAATTTGATAGAACATGCAATCAGTGATGAAGTAAAAAAAAAAAAACCTCGAAAGCCATAGGTTTCAAATAGGGATAGGAAGTCATCATGATTAAGGATGAAAACAAGCTTTACAATAATCATTTTAGAATAAAGGAGAGTCACAAGAGCATTATAATTTCAACAACTATCATTCGCTATGCAGGAGAGATTAAAATTATAGAAATAAATTATTTATATCAAAATTATGGATAAAGTAATCTACAAAATATTTATATGATTTTATATCTTTAAAAAATATAAAATTATTCATTTATTTGATCCAAAAATAATTTATTGCTACACCAGATTTGAAAAAAAAAAACAATCTTATGATCCTTCAAAACTTGATTTCTTGTGTTTAAATTAATATGTCTTGAATAGTACTTATGACTCGTAAAAATTTAAAAAAAAATTGCTCGATTGAAGTTATCATGGATTATATGATATTTAATTAAAATTGACTGTACAACAATATACTATATCTGTAACAAGACACTTGTTAATTATAGCAGGCCACATTTCAATCTGAAGACATCAATCTAATCTATACATGCCAACTTCGTGATCATCCATTAATCATCTATTAAATACTCTATCCTTGTTTGAAAATGCGCATGTTGTTGTATGTTCACGTTGCATTGGTTCATTAACATGATATATAAGTGCATAATTTTGCTTTGACTAATTATCTTATTTAAATTTATGAATTCTACTTTTCTCAGTTCCTTCCATATATTCATTTCATTGATGTCTTTCTACCCAAAATTGAGACTTGAGTTGACATAAAGATTTGGGACGGATAATAAAGATAGAACAACTGATATCAAAATCCAAAACACATTTCGGGCATTGAAAAAGATGAGTGATGATCTTATGACCCTATCTGAAATGAGATACCGAATACATGCACAAAGACATGGATAGCCAGAAGAATACTGGTTGAGAACGGGTCAAGATAGTGTACATAAATCTGAAATACTAGTGATGTAAATGATCATAAACTCTACAACAACAACTAAAGCCAATTACAGAATCTTGCAATACACATTTAATTGTCACTTTTAAACCTACTGAGCTTACATGTTAGTTAGCATGTTAGAGTTTTTTTTTTTTTAACCGAAAAAGGAGAAATTTCATTAAAGATTAAACTGGATTAGATACTGAGCTAGACTGATCTATCATTACAAGACCCAAAAAAACATAGAGAATTTACAGTCTATCCAAGATTGACTAGCCAATGGACCACGCCTTTCATGATGCGGGAAACATGGACCACATCGACAACATAAAGACTTGAACAAAGAAATAAAAGAAGGAACCAGCGAATCGACTAACTCAAGTGAATTAGTTCGATTCAGATGTTGGAGAAATTTAGTTGTGCAGCCTTCTGAAGGCTTTCAAGTGGAGCAGAAGCTTCAGCTATGATGATGACAAGTTGCATCCACCAAATCCAAGAATGAACTCCAAGAATGAAGAGATCTGCACCTGGAATCACAAAGAGTGGACGAGCAGAAGCCTATGGAGGCATGCAAGAGTTTGTTGATGCGAGAAAAGCTTTAGCAATTCCAAAGGCGGTTGAAGACATTTCAGAAGAGCTGGTGACTCCTGATCAACCCAGTGCAACTGGTCTTTCAAATTCCATTGAAGCCACTGCATACTAATATTACAATGCATCAATCAAATTTGAATATTCCAATTAGTACATAAATAAATAAGTTTGCAAAAAAGTTTAAGTGTTTTTCAGCCACTTCAATCGTTAGAGCAACTACTGCTCAGCAACTTCCTGTGATCTTTGGTGATATTTTGTTTATACTTGCTGCATAACTTGATCTGAAATATGACTCTTCAATCTGGAATAGGAATTAATTTGGACAAAAGCCAAAAGTCCCTTCCATAGATCCAAAGGTCATCTCAGTTGGACTGTTATGTAGAATTTTTAAAACATGCAGTTTACATACAAACCAACAATACTACGCCAAAGACAATCAGAAAAGAATTTAAGCTAATAATCAGTAAGACAGAACAAATTTGATTTATAATCAATGCAAATCTAGCTTGTCATAAAAGAAATATCCCACACCTCAATACACCTTTAGATAAGTTCTTTGCATAAAATTTCCAAAATCTCAAATTAGGGGAATAATATACCTTCGTCGTCACAAATCAGACAATCAGTTAAGCCCTTTCTCATCCTCCGATGCCAAATGAAAGGTATCATTTCTTTTACACGCGCCAGCAACTCTCATAATATCAAGCAGCTCAGGGACATTTTCTTTGTGAGGGAGAACAAACTTCTCCATGAATTTGGTATCTGACATTATGAGAATACATACAAACTTGCATTGTCCAGTCCACAATCCTTTCGATTTCAACATCTCCGTCACATGAAACCGAGGAATGACCCTCTTCTGCAGACTATATAGCAAGATAGTTGGTTGGGAGGCGATGAAGGAAGGGGTGTACCCGACTACATTGATAAAAAATTCCATTTTTCTGCGCATCATATCGAGGGAGATGCATAAGAAGGTGGGTGCTTTCCTGACTGCAGAAGAAAACTCCGACTCCGACCACCCGAAGCTCCTCATGAGCTCGACCTTGGCCTCGAACCTTTCTTTGCTTACCATGAGGAGAGCATCAAGTGTCCGCACGAACATCCGAGATAGCCGTGGCATCCCCAGCTCATCGGCTCTCGCCACCAAAGCTCGGAGAGACTCTGGTTTCCGTGAGATTAATTGTGGGTGACTTCTCAAGACGACGGAGACCCTTTCTTCAGGAATGCCGCACTCATCCCTCAAGAACTTTAGGTTAGGATGCAACGTCTTCTCAACGCTGGAGGAGAAAAACCATCCTGTCTTCTTGAGATGGTTGAGAACAAGCTCTCTCGATCCCAAGAGACTTTCCCACATCTCCAATTTGGGGACGATGGAACGCTGAACGTTGAAGAGGAGGATGCCATGGTTCTTCAGGATGGCATCGACGATGTCCGACTCCGATAGGCCCAAATCGCGTAAGAACTGAAACTTCGGGGCCAACTTCTTCTCCACGTTCGCGCATAGGTAATTTGGTTTCAAAGATATCAACTTTCTGATACCGGCGCCGTCGAAGCCCTGAGATCTCATGAAGTTAAGGACGGCGTCGGGTTTCTCGGTGGATCGGAGGTGCGCAAGGGGTTTAGAGAACTTGGCTGCCTCGGAGGGGGAGAACCCGCAGGAGTTCACGAGGTATTCCACCATGAAGTGGGGATCAGGAGATGTGGTGACGCCTACAGCGGCGGCAAGGTCGACAGAGGAGGAGAAGAAGAAGAGATCTCGAAGGCGGCAGGTTTCGAACAAGGGCAGAAGGCTATTGCGGCGGAGTACCGTGCGGAGCGTCGCAGCCGCCATTGTGGGACGAAAGAGAGCAGTCGCAGCGGCACCCTAAGACAAACAACCCGCTTTTATCTGCAGTGTGTATAACCCTTCGCTAAGCACAAGAAATACAAAATTAAAGGATAAATTATTTATATCAAAAAATAGATAAAGTGATCTACAAGATACTATTTTGACCGTTTCATTTGTAATCAAATCTTTCAGTTTAAGTTTAATTATTTAACTTTTTTCTTATGAATAAAATTTATAAAATAGATATTCAATATTTTAAGTTAATATTATGTTTTAATAAGACACTCAGATATTTTCATTATAATTTAATGATAGTATAATTTAAAATTAAAAAAAATAATTATGATTTGAATTGAAATCAATGTGTACAGACTCAATCTATAATATAACCCACATATTAGATCCATCCGTCAAACTAATATGATGAACTTATTAAATTGATTTTTTAAAGAAATAATTATTTGGTTTCTTAGGTTTTTGTTCTTGACCTTTGGTCTCATGCAGATGGGAAGTATGTCATTGTTACCGATATATGACAGAAGTTTACTTATGTTATTCTTAGTCACGAAAAGATATATTGGAAATAAATTTTTTGTTTACGGGGAAAAGATGGTTTATGTGGAAAAAGGTGACTGGAGTTATTCTGATTTTTTAAGTAACACATTTCAAAAATTATAGGTTTCTAATTATTCCTACCTACTGTGTAGTGATTCGGTTTGCTATCGTGGGTTAAAAGTTAAATTAGATATGTTTTACTTGAACCATTAATTTTTCTTTTTGCATGGCAATTATGTTTTTAAAACCACAATTGAACCTTTTTGTTTGCCGCATGTGAAAGAACGCCCTTTATGATCTGAATTTTTCTTGATGAATTATATTATTTTTTTTCCTTGATGCATTTTCATGTTATACTTTTACATCGTTTTCATAATGCTTCATCTCAACTCTTCCCTTTTATAGATGTTAGGTGTTCTGAAACTTCAGGAACTTGTAGCTTATTCTGGATTTTGTCTTCTCTGTTTGATTACATAGTGAACAAATTGTAACTATCAACGTTCAAAAGATCTTGTAATTATTAGGTGAGCTTGATTGACTACAGATAATTTATTAATTTAATAATCATGCAGATCATCTAATAAAGTCATGACTTTTGTAATCATCGATAATTTTCTAACATCGATTAATTACTTTAAATCATATATTACTTTATTTAAATTAGTTTTTTTATTTATATAATATGATTAAGAAAATTATTAAAATTATTATTTATCTTTTATGGAGAGCTCAAGCTCATCGTTCCTCAATTCCTAGCTCTCTTAGAGGAAATGATCACGAGGAGAGTATATTTTTTTATTATTAATTTTTATTTATATTTTAAAATTATTTAATATTAGAATTATTTTAATTTATATATTAAAAATTATTATTTTAAATTTAAAATTTTATTATTAATAAATAATGATCATCGAAAGTGTATTTATGTTTTAAACAATTAAGTATGAATTTTTAGATTTAATTACTTTTAAATTTGGAACATAAATCTAAATTAGTTAATTCATGAAAAATAATAGATTTATGATTACTTATTATTTTTATAATATTTTAAAGTATTTTTTTAAAATGTTAAAATCTAATTTAACAAGTATGAGTCAAATTTGATATTTAATCTTAGTTAAGTTGATTGACCAAACTAGCCTATGTAGTGAAGTACAATCTAACTCGCATGACTAAGTATCACTCGATCTACATGGCCAAGTATGATTGAACTGATGTGATTCAACATAACACAATCCATATAATCAAATATAATATAACATTACTCAATCTATCTGACTAGGTATGATCTAACTTATATGTTTAAACATAACTCATCAAATGTGGTCAAGCATTGTCTAACTCATTTAATAGTTATGACTTAGCACATATGATCAGGTATAACTCAGCTAGTATGACTAAGCATAATACGTTACATGTGATCAAGCATGATTTAGCCCGTGTGATTAGACATGATCAAATTCATGTGATTAGGTATGACTTAACATAAGTGACTAAATATAACCAAACTTATAAAGTTAGATATGACTTAATTCATATAATCAAATATAATTTAACTTATATGATCAAGTATAATTTGATTATATATGACTCAATTTATATGATTTATATTATGTGGTCATGATTTAACTCTAAGTTAAGATCGTAAAACTATATATATATATATATATATATATATATATATATATATATATATATATATATATATATATATATATATATA